ATTTTTTCAAAAAACTTTTATTCTACCGTAAAATAATTTTACGTGTAAATAAAAAAAATTCTTATTTTTTAATTATACATTCTTCAAAAAATTATTTTTATAAAACATATTTCCCCCCAAAAATGTGGTTCAAAGGGACAAAATAAGAGTGACAATTATTGTTTGTATTTCAAATTTTTAATTTATTTTGAAACAAAAATAATTATTGAAGCCTAGGGATGCCAATGAGCCGAGTAGAATCGAAACTCTAGGCTCTAACTCGACTCGAGTAAAAATGGTTCGGCTTTTTTTTGGCTCAAGCCAAGCTTTTGCTCGGCCGAAAAATCTAGGTTCGATCCGAGTTCTCAACTCTGACCTTATTGAGCAGAGCCGACTCACGTTTTTTTTTTAAACATAAGCAATTGATGCAGCTTTTAAATTATTATTTTTTACTTTTTACATTTTTAGATTTTTTTTTAAGGCTCTGCTCATAGCAGACCTAAAATGGTTCAAGCCAGGAGTCGACTTTCCAAAATGAGACTCGGTAGCTGAGCTGGCTCGAACTTTTTCTAGATTGAGCCACGGCCCTCCCAAGTTGACGAGCTAAATTGACACCCTTAGTGAAGCCCAACGCATAGAAGCACTCCCAAACACTTCCATTTAAAAAGATAACTACTTCTTAGTTTTTTAGTAATTTGTAATGTTCAACCTAAAAACTTTATACATGAAATATGTACATCAATTATATCAAGGGCATGTTTGATAAGACTTCTACTTTTTATACGAGATATTTTTGAAGAAGTTACACTAGTCTAACATTCTCTAAAAACTCTTCACCATCCCATTGCGCTCGATCCTCACCCTTTATTTCCCAAATCGAGTCTTTATTAACTATACTTTCAGTTATTTTTATCTTCAATTGATTGTCAAGAAATTCTTTTCCTACTAGATACAAGTAATGGTTTATGTTAATTTATGTCTAGGAAATATATATTGTGAAGTGTAACAATTTTTTTATTGATCTTCATCGAGTTCAAATTCGATTACATTAAACTCTCTGCCCATTTATACAACTGACATTCCTTCAATATTTTGTGATATTGAAAAAAAAATAAAAATAGTAGACGAATTCGGCAACAAATATATTTCTCCTCTTGCCATTTTGTAGATTTTGAGAAAGAACTCACGCACGAGTTTTTATTATGAAACTGCAGTAATACATACGATAAATCTTCAGGCATTGTCATTGATCATCTTTGATACACAACACTAGATAAAACTAGGCAAACAACTAACTTAAGTTTTAACTCTTTTTCTTCTTTTATTCTATCCAGTAGTGCTCCATTTCACCGAGCATGTTACGATTGTATCCATTGACGATCCTCAGCAAGCAACTGAAGCAATGCTGATACACCGGCTTAACCCAAATGACAGCAATATAAGAGCAATGGTGGTGTAGCTACTTAATGCAGATAGCTGTAATAGAATCGAACTTCTACCAAATGATAAGACTGATCAAGTCGAGCAGAAAATATTTACATTTTATCAGTCACCATATAAAGACCACTGGAAACAGGGTCAAGCTTCTTTATGTTGAAAATTGATAAACTAACTGACCTGAGATGACAATAAGAGAGGTTCGAATTCTGCTTTCGCTTTTTTATACTTCCTGCTTGACATGGCATCAAGAGTAGAGATGGCTTCAGCAATATGCTTCCCTTTGTTCAACATCACACAACTTAATCTGCAACACAAGAACAATGTAAATACGATTTTGAAATATCATCATCGTCTCCACAACATAAAAATTAATTTTTTTTTTTTACACCTTCATTCTGTTACAATTTTTTAGCAGTACGATTTTCCTATTATGCAGAACTGTATAATGTCCAGAGAATGACGCTATTGTCCTTGATCTTTTATGCTTGAACATCTAAGTGAAAACTGAATACATCATTGACAGTCTGATTGTAGGCATCCACATATGTTGGGTTTTGATACACAATAAATCCCGGACTATGATGTAAACGTTAGATTAAATTGTTATCAACAATCAAGCCCAAAGGCTCAACCCGAAACAACGTGGACCACTAAAAGTAGTTTAAACAATTAATGTTGCTCACGACTCATATATATTACCTCTGGATGACTCCGAATCTTGGCCCATTTAACCTTTTATTGGTCTAACTAAAGTCTAACTTAACCTATATATATGGTGTCTTTACCCTATCCGTAAAGTGTATGATTTGTGTGCGGGAGAGAAGAAAATGTGGCTACTCTTTCCTGCAAAAACCAGCTGCCATAGTTGAGAGATAAAACCGATGGCTACCTGGGTGTTTTTGGCCTCTTTTGTCCCTCTTTCATTGCTTTCTTCTTGTACCTTTGTGGTCCACAAATCATCATCGTTATCTTGTCCTTTGTGGGTGAGATTGAAGAGCAACCGATGTGAAAATATTGGTTGTAGAATGGAGTCGTTTGGATTGGTTGTTCGGTAAAGAAAAGTAATGTAAAACTCAAGTTGGAAAACACCGTTTTGACGATCCTTGGAGCGAGCTTTCGTGACAACATATATGGCCTAACGGGCATTTAACTGCAAATCCTGTGGGTATCTGATGTAGTTTGCTCTCATCATAATTCGTAGTGAACTAAAACTTTAGCTGCATTGGTAATTTCTGCTGTAGAGGGCACTCCAGAACTAAAAAGTGACTCCAGAACTTGTCTTTGCAAGTTCTTCTAGCAACACGACAATATCGCGAACATCTCAGACAAATGAAATACCCACCATGTCAGCAGTCAGCGGGTTCAGCTACAAAGTCTAGATCCATAAGATCCTTCGAAGTAAGGCCTTCGTAACGAATGTGACTCTCTGGGGTGTTTATGGATTTTTCAGAGCCAAGCTTAGTACCTCTTGGACCAGCATGCGTGATTGAAACAATAACTTCCAAATCAAATAGATAACCAGATGGGTAGGTTATCCTATGGGCACCAAGCCACCAACCGATGAAGTTGATTCATCCAGTTCATCTGAACTATATCAAGATAGTATCAATGTCACCCACTCTCGGCCTAACAAATTGCTCTACAGGGGGAACATCCATAACAAGATGGCTTAATAATAGTGTTAGCCCGTCCCACTATT